CGGCGCCGCCCGGACACGACGAGCCCGCCGGGCAGTCGAAGCAGTCGGGGATGCCGTCGCCGTCCGTGACGTTGGCGTATGTACCCGGCTCGCACGCCGCAGGCAGCTCGAGCGACGCGCCGACCGGGCAGAAGCTGCCACGCTTGCAGCGGGTGCACTCCTCGGCGCCACTCGAGTTCTGATAGAATCCCGCGGCGCACCGCTCGCACTTGGAGAGGCCGGGTGTGGCGGCGAAATGGCCGGGCTCACACGGCGAGCACGTCTCTCTGCTTTCCGCGCCCCGCGTTGCGCTCGCGGTGCCGGCGGGGCAGAGCTCGCACGCGGCGCTCGAGTTGGAGCCGTTGGCCGGGTTGAAGCTGCCGGCGGGACACGGCTCCCAGACCATGCGTGTAGCGGCGCCCGCCTCCTCGCAATGGCCTCCGCGCGGGCAAGGGTCGCAGGCGGCGAGGCCGACGTCGGGAGAGAAGGAGCCCGCTGCGCAAGGAAGGCACTCCTCCTCTCCCGCGAGGGGCTGATGCTGGCCTGGAGCGCACGGGATGCAGCTCTCGCTGCTCGCCGCGCCGAGGGCGGGCATGCGAGTGCCGACCGGGCAGGGCTCGGGGTCGGCGGTCCCCTCCTTGCAAAAGTGGCCCCTGGTGCACTGGCCGCTGCAGGAGGGTTTGGTGAGGCCGCTCCTTGCCCCATAGTAGCCAGCGGGGCAAGGGTTGCACTCGGGGACACTGAAGTCGCCTTCAAAGGCGCCCTTGGTCGGCATCCAGCTGCCCAAGCGGCAGTCCCAGTCTATCTCCGAGCTGACAGTCTGGATCGTGACACCGTCGTTACCAGTGAAGGAGGCGTTGCTGATCATGGTTTTTTGTTGGTTTAGCAGGTACAGCACGGACGGCGATTGTAAGCGAGTGGTTGAGGGAGTCTACAGGGCGGCGAGGACGCCCGTGCGTAGATGGAGAGGCGGGGAGGGCGGCGGAGCAGACGGTGTGGGAGAGAGCGGAGAGTCTCACACCTTTGTGTCCGTCTCGTCGGCCTCGCTCTTGGAGTGGGCCGTGGCGGTCGTGCAGACCGTCTCGTTGCTCGTGGAGCCCGAGGCCTTGATCGGATCCTCAGAGACGCAGAGCTCGGCGAGCGGCAGCGGCGGCTCCGCGCACCACACAGGGGCGCCGCCGCCGCCGCACGTGAGACCGACGGAGTTGACGGTGGAGCCGGCGAGCGAGACGTCGCCATTCTTGACCGCGCCGGTGGTCTCGCCAAAGGAGGCGAGCTCGGCGTCGGCCGCGGCGCCGATGGGCTTTAGGGTGGTCGGGGCGGCGGCGCGCGAGGCGGCGCCGCTGAACTTGGAGAGATAGGCCGGGATGGAGAAGGTTGGATGGAAGGTGGCGACGTCCGGACGGGCACCGAACAGCGCCCCCCCACCCCCGAGGACGTCTTGGTGGAGCAGGAGCTCCGCGGCCTTGTTGGGTTTGCGCGAGGCAGACGCCGCGAGGGCGAGCGACGGCGCGTCGGTCTCGAGCTTGATGCTGAAGTCGGTGCGGTTGAGCGTGTCGATGAGTGCCCCCCCGCGCCGCGGACGGGGGCGAGAGGCGGCGTTTGAGGGCGTCGCGAGAAGAGCGAGGGCGAGCATGGCGGCGTGCAGCAGATGTAGGCCGGAGGCCGATGCACGAAATTGAGATCGCAGAAAAAAAACGCCCCGCGCGTGAGGATTGTGTTCTTCAGGGCGGCTCGCACAGTAGTGTGTGTACGTTGGACGAGGTGTGAGAATACTTAGCTCCGCCGTTCATGGAGGTAACCGATGCGAGTGCGCGGCGCATCCCCGGCGGCCCGACGGTGGCCGGCGCTTGCGCGCCAGCCCCGTCCGCCGCCGGATCCGCGGCCGCGGGGTCCCTGTCATACTCGAGTAGCTACCGGTACGCGCGCCATGGGGCGACTTTGTTATGTACATTATCTCGTGCAACGACCCTCCTGT